TTACACCAGGGAAATCTTGGGTAGAAGAAGACATGAATAAAAGCTGGGGGGAAGGGGGTGGGGGTCACACACTGCTGGGTAATACTACCCTAATTATCCAAGTTTGAAGATCAGCTAATGCTGCTGTATATGGCACTGGCAGATCAGATCAGTACCCTGATTATGCTATACACTATTGCAGAATTGTTTCAGCTGGAAACTGATCTAACCTCATACCTGAGAATTAGGTTTTACCCCAGAATACTTCTATGATCTGACTGGAGAAGTAACAGCAACAGCCCTGGGAGCTCTTGCAGGCGAGGCTGGAAACCTTTTCAGTGGTAGCAGCCTCCCTTGTTAATTTTGTTAATTTTGGCCTGGCAGCTGCTGTTCAATGCAAGCCATTTCAGTTAGGTGCTGTGGAAAAATGCCAGCATGAGCAAGGCACTTCCTGTCAGAGAGAGGCATTGAATGACACAGCAATGGGCTGTGTGCTTACTGCACAGCATTAGCATGTGTCTACTACTGCAGATCATTGTTTTTGTGATGCGAGAACTCCATCATACCGGGATGGACGTGACAGCTTGCACTGTATGTGTTGTGCTGGCTTGAGGTTGTTGGGAGTGGAGTGGTGAAACAATCCTTTGTCAGTGTTACATGAAGCATTGGAGTGGTGTTATTTCCAGCTGTTCTCAGTCATGTGGCCTGTTCTGGGTGGTGTAGGGATGGCTTAAGCCTGTTGTCAAGTACTGTGACTACAACTGGAAAGAGATTTGCCAAGAGTAAATCCTTGAGATGGCAAAACACAGGAAAGGCTGCACAGGGTAGGAGTGTTTTACTGGATCGGGGCCTTCAAAATGGTAGTGTAACATAGTTCAAGATGAAATACAGAAGCCATCTTTCAGATCTGGAGAAAGGAGTGATGAGGGAGTCTGCCATCGTCTCCAAGGTATGGAGGGCTCTGGCCCTGCAAGTGAAATGCGACACTGACACCACTAATTCCTGACATTCCTAAATCTGAGGCCAGGAAATGCTGAGGTCTGTGCAGCCTTATCTATTGTCTATAAAGAAATTCCCTCTTTAAAGAACCCAAGAAAAAATAAAATGACTGCCGGCTTACTGAGGATTCATGCTTGTGCCTAAACATAGCAGTTCCTTTAATTTATGTATATGGGTGTTTCTGCTTTTCCATTGTGGTGATGGTCAAAGCTGAAGACCCTCTGGTCTTAGACATGTTTTCCTGTTCTCGCATAAGGCAAAATTACTTGAAATCTGCCATCCAGGTGGAAGACCAGTCTTCTAAGTCATTCATATGGTAATTCATCACTGAACTCCATTGTCTTCCCCTACCCCTCTCCCTCCTGAGTGAACTTTTGACTAAGAGCCGTAGAGCTGGAAGCAGCACCGAGTTGTCAGGGAGCCTCCAGGGGGGATGACCTGCCGCCTGCTTCTGGCATCTGCAGTTGCTAAACCTTAGTTAGCTTCCTTTCAGCAGCAGCCAGGACTCTGCTTTCCCTGGATTTCTACTAGGATGCTCTTTTGCTGTCTTGGTGATGCATGTTATCTTGAAATATATTCTGCCTCAGCTGCTGTCTTTACAGACACATTGAATTTGCTCTTCTGATTTCTGTGGAGGCTTTTACAAACAGATGGGAGTTATCAGGAATTGAAGTAAGCCATTAATGCAGAAATACGGAGTTAGCTTAAGAAATGTCCCAATTTCTGAGCAAACGTACCTGTATGGAAGCCTGATTCTCGTTAGAAGTTTGTCACCTGTCTGCTGTCTAGCTTCATTAAATACAAAAGAAAAAAAACTATTTCAGGCACACAATATAAAAAAAAAAAAATCCACCAAAAAAGCCAAAATCTCTTAAATTACAGCAAGGGGTGGAAGGGAGATGTTCTTGAATTGATTCAGGTACCCTTTGTCAACACTGGTCTTTCTAAGGCACCCAGTGTCTTCCTCAGAAGCACTTCTTAAAAATGCAAGAAGGACCATATTCTTCATATTCACTCCTGTAAACCCAGAGCTCCTGGAAAGAGAGGAGTGAGGCCAGGATAGACCCACCAATCCAGACAGAAGACTTTCTTTGAGGGGATGCAGCTGTGATGAAGTTGTCACTGGGGCACAACCTGGCCAGTTCCATCTGGAAGCGGTCGGCAAAGCTCTCCATCATAGTGCTGCCCCCACACAGCAGGATATTCTCCACCATTTTTTTGTTGACATCAGCATCACACTTCTTGAGACAATTGAGTGTCAGCTGCAAAAAATCCAGACAGAAGACTTTCTTTGAGGGGATGCAGCTGTGATGAAGTTGTCACTGGGGCACAACCTGGCCAGTTCCATCTGGAAGCGGTCGGCAAAGCTCTCCATCATAGTGCTGCCCCCACACAGCAGGATATTCTCCACCATTTTTTTGTTGACATCAGCATCACACTTCTTGAGACAATTGAGTGTCAGCTGCAAAAGCCCTGGCTGCTGTGAGCCAAGTAAGGCTGGTTTGAAGAGTGCTTCAGCACACAGGAATCTCTCCTTGCCTACAGTGATGAGGTGTCCATCCGGCAGCTCGTAATGCATTTGTTGTTTCTGAACAGGCAAACTCAAGTCCTGTGTAAGGTCCAGAGAAGTGTAACAACACTTCTCTTTGAGATCTTGTACAATGTTTAGCTGGTGTTCTGTGAACACATTTCCAGACTCATTTAGTAACTTCCTAAGATAACATGTGATGTCCAAGCCAGCATAGTCTACTCTCCCAATGACACTACGTATAATATAACCATCATAGATGGGAACCACATGCGAAGCACCATGGCCACTTTCCACCACAAGAGCGGAGGTTTTTCCGTAAGAGTACATGGATAAATGGGACTGGTAGGCAATGTGGACAGCAGGCATGTGAAGTCCTTCAAACATCATCTCAGCATATCTCTCTTTGTCAGTGATGGAACACAGAGGAGGCACTGACACCAGAAGAGCATGGTCCTCTGGCTGAATCTTCATCTCCGTCTGGAAAATACACTCCAAAGTATTATGGACACAATTCCAGTCAACCACTATGCCATGTCTTATTGGGTTGATGAGTGTTAAGGGTACGCTGCTGTTCTGAAGCTCTCTTCCAACAAAGGTTTCTTTTTGATTGCTCCCAGTCTCCCGTATGGGCTTACCAACTGTAGATGAAACAGTGTACGAAGGCCACGGGTCCCCTGCAAAGCCACACTTGAAGTAACCTGTGCCAATGTCTACAACTACCGCTTTAGTTGCCTTCATGGCCTTGAGGCTACTCTTGGTCATGGATATGTGGCTGTCCCTTATAGGCTTTAAACAGCTTGCGTCCGCTGCTGCTATTCTTGCAGGCCTTTCCTGTAAAGCGGTGACTTCATACAGCAAGTGCTGGACATGCTTCTTGGTAGCATTGCCCTGCCACCACTCCACCTGGGGTTAGCATAAGCAGCAGACGTGTGCCTGGAGCCCTGCTGGCAGTAGTTCTACCGATGCCACTAACTTATGACATCATACATAGGCTTGCCCCTCAGAAACCAGTGCTCCACATGCAAATGTGTGACAATCGTGACTTAGACAGCTGTGCGGTGTTTCTGTATAGACGGATTGCAGGCGTTTGTGCTTCACTTTGACCTGCTCTGAGAGCTACTAAAAAACATGACACCCACCCAGATGTGACAGGCCATGAGGCATTAACAGTGGTGAAGCAGCGTGACTTTCCTTTCTGGCCTGTGTCTGCCATGGGAGGAAGACCACAGTTCTCCAGCATTCGCAATGGTTCTTGATCCACAAATAGTTCCTGTTGCTACCACATTAGGACTACTTCATATCTGGGGCCAAGTGAAGCCCTCATTTGCCTGTGTCAAGAGTGGATACTTAGATTGGCTGTGCTTTTGTCATTCTTTTTGTTGTTTTTTTGCTTTCTAAATTAAGGTGTAGTATTAGTAATGCCAGCAAAACCTAAAGTGTGACTGGTGTTTGAAATTAGGCCACAGCCATTCCCTCACCCTTACTGTCCCCGATGCTGCTACAGGAACACCTTTGCTCTTTTCCAGCAGCAACAGGTCACCATTTGCCCCATCAGAGTGTGTGTAGTAACACATTGCTGCATGACAGCACCGAAGAAGACGACACCCTCTCTCTACAAAATACATTATCAAGAGCTATAACCAGCATTTTCCTTGTATAACAAAAGCTCTGTGTACTCTTTTACTGAAAGCCATTTCACCCAGAGGATATCTTACTTAAGTCAAAGCTGGGCTTAGAATGAAATTGAACCCTACAAACCCAGAAACTGATTTTTATTACTACTGCTCTGCTGCCTATCTGAGAATTCACATCTTGATGACAAACGAATGATAAAGGCTCAACAAAATCCTGATGCAGAGAAGCAGGGCAGCATTAAACCACACAATTTCTGTACCAACCTCAACATATACAGCGAAGCAACTGCAAACCTTGATAGTTTACTCTGGGGAGCAGTAAATCTGGTCATTGCATATTATACATGTATTTTTATGTATAAGTGATTAAAGGCATCCTTGTACATGAAAGAGATGGGCTGCCCCACTTGAGCCTGAGCAGTGACTACCCTGGCACCCTGGTGAGGGGTGATGCCTGCTCCATAATGCAGGGCAAGTTCAGCAGCACTGAAATCTTCAAGCCATGCTGTGGCACAGCACGTGGGGACGCTCTAGCTGCTGCTCCTTCCCACACGCTCATACACTCCTTTGACAGTTGTGCCATCAGCCATGCCAGGCTCTGCAACATTATCACTTCAGAAAAACTTCAGTGACAAGTAGAAGGCATCAAGAGAAAGACCTCTAAACCATTGTTTGCTTCTTTTCTTTCTCAGCAGAAATCTAGCTCTGGGCTCCACACCTTAGCTTCCAAATTAAAATAAATCCTTTCATCCAAACAAAACACTTCCTCCAAACTTCAGTTCACATACAGATTAGTGTGGCAGTACCACAACAAAGCTGCAAACACACCTTCAATTTTAGAAGTCACTTTATTTTATGGTTAGGTTTTTTTTGTCTAAGCTATTGCAAGGTTAGTATGCTGCTGTTTCCAGGCTACTTTCTCCTGTATCACATTTGTCATTTCAGTTAACAAAAAACATACATGTCCACTAACACTTTGAGGTCTTTGTTTTAGCCTGAAATCTGAAGACAGATTGTAAGACGATTTTTTGCAAAGTCATTTTGGCCAGTGGTTTCTCAGATGTTCCTTTAGCTGTGGGATAGTGGACAGCTGTTGTTTACAACGATGGCATCTGAGGGGCAATTTGAGAAGTTCAGAGACATGGTCTTTCACCATCACTTTTCCCTTGCTTCTTACCATCTCTATCACATCTGAAAAAAAAGAAGAGACCAGAGGTCTCAGGAGCATGTAGCATGAAACACAGGACACTGCAGAATCTTTGTGCGCTGCTTTGCACGGAGAGCATGTCATCACTGCATTCTAATTTAAACCATTCACAAAATTTAATTGCCTTTCACTTAGTGCTATTCCCCAATATCTGAAATTACACAAAACCTTTCACTTATTACAACAGAATTTATGGCTTACACATTTGATTGGGAAAAAAGCCCAAAGCCAGAACCCACAAGCAGGATTACATGTTATGAAATACCTTTTCTGATCATTACCTTGAGAGTTTATGAAGTAATCTGTAGTAAAAGAGTTCCAGTGCTTTTTGGTTTTCAGGGCCAGAGAATCAAAATCCTGGCTGATTACATGCAGATGTAGCTGACTGAAAGAAATATATTAGGTAGATAGAAGAAAAAAAAGTTAACGCTTGAAGTTCTTTTGCAGTACTGTCAGTTGCAAACATGATCCAGCAGAGTCGGACTGCCAGCCTTATAGGAGAGTCTTATCTTGTTTGACCCATGGTCCTGCGACAGAAGAAACCCAGTCTGTTCTGGAAGCACTGTCTCATGCCAAGCGTCTCCCTTAAAAAGTCAAGGTCACTAGCCTGCATATTCCATTAGCCCCTAGCTACAGCCTAAATTCCTGCTAGCTTCCAAAAAGGCAGAGACAGTGGTTTTAATAAAAAAAAGGTTATTTGGTTTGTACAGTACCTGAATGGGACTGGATCAGTAACTCAAAAGCTTTGTCCAGGAAGTGGAGAACACCTTAGGAACGTGGACTGCAATGCCCACAGGCATTTGGACACTGTAAGATCTGGACTTATGTACACACAAGACTCAAATCCTTGCTCAGTATCAGGTAGGATTTGATAGGCTTAAGAGTCGCTCTCTGATCCCTAACAGGTGCCCTGGGAGCGGGGTACCCTAGCACCTGGCCATTGGCAGTGCTGCCTCTTTCACTGGGACTGGACCACAGGCAGACCACAGCCCCAACTACAGTTCTGCTACAGGAACTCAACAGGTGTTTGCCACCAGACCCACGAGCAGCCCAGCGGCATGTATGCAGCAGTGTGTGCACAGCTGCACCCAAAGGACTTAGACACCAAACTGTTTGTAGCATTTGGGAGGATTGGTTGTTCTTTAGCAATGCCAGATCATGTTACAGATTTAACCCCAAATCTGTGTAACCAGAAGAACAAGGTCTCCACCTGATGACTCATGTAGGTCTTACCTCATACTGGGGATAGCATGGTAACCCAGTCTGAACTCCAAACTCTCTCTGGCAGGGCACTGTTCGATCATTTGTTGCCCAACTGCATGCATATGTTCCAGGAGTTCAAGATGGTCCCTGGTGACAGACTTCAGGCTTGAAATGGGGTCCCATGGTAAGATAAGCCAGTGGTAACGTGCTTTGGGATATTTATCCTTGATGACTACAGTCTTTTCGTCTTTGTAAACCTTGCAAAACAAATAACCAGATTATTTAGTGATTGAAAGTTAAGTATTTTATTCCTATAAGCACTCTATTTAGTGGATTTTGAGATGTTATCCATCCACATGTCCCGTTGTGGTGCAGAAGTCCCTAAGCACATGCATGTGTTGCTAGTGCAACTGGGACTGCCAGGAAAAAAGCCACAAAAGATTGCTAGATGGGGAGAAGTATCAAGCAGCATAGCATTCCACTTTAAGGAGGACTTTTGCTGGAACTAAGTTGGTCCAGGCTATGTGTCCTCTTCCATACCATGCACCAGGCAGATACAGAGAGATGTTCCACCATCCCTCTTTAAGGAAAAAGCTTTCTGTTCTTACATAGCAGTAAGTCAACTATTGCTACAGGTCGGTATGAACTCTCTTGAAAATCACCTAGACTCAGGTACTAGTGAGCTCCAGGAAACTCTACTTCCATCAGGCTACATTCAAGCTTTGCAGTCACTGAAACAAAAATCACAGCACCGTGCTCCCTACGGAGCATGCAAGAATGCACTGACTGCCTCATCCTTCGCAGACTTCTGAACACAAGTCTGTGAGGTGCTACAAATAGCATGCTCAGTGCTGCAGACCTCAGTCGGCGTTACAAAGACAAAAACATTCAAGTTGGAGCTATTTCAGTTCATGCTACCTAATGTGCTACTTTGTAAGATGACTCTCAAAAAAAACAGATTCTCGTCTATCATGCCCTTCTTGCCCTGTTTTCATTTTGTTTTGCCTTCTGCAACAATTTGATGCAGATGATCAAGAGAAACAGTAGCAAAGCATGTGAAGAACCCCGGGGACAACCTGGCCCTGTCGATAAAAACCTGTCAAGTTCTGAAGCAGAAACTGTGTGCTCTGTTTCTGCTCTTAGCAGCACGTCTATTGGTTGGAGATGAATGATGTCTTTTGTCATCTTTGCTAATTATTCTCATATGTTTATATACAGAGGTGATCAGTCTTGCTCTATAGCAAGATTAAAAATTTATCAGCACACAAATCACAGGACTGATTCAGCAGCAAGACTGGTTGATGCTGTCATATTTTTATATACATTGTGTTTGCATATGCAGCCAGTGTGAATGGAATCATGATCAAGTGTTTTCAAGAAGAAAGAAATATTGCCATTTATTTAATATTTGATTAGAACGCAAAGATAGGAGTTCTGTTGTTTGTATATTTACTTCATAGCTACAACTGATAAAGCTAACACTAAGTCACAAACAGTTATTTCTGTTCTAACATTCAAAAAACAGTTTTAAAACCAGCTTATCTTTTGGGTCAAGAAAGCACTGTCTTGGTACATGCTATATGAAACTCCGCTTAAGTGATGAAGATTCAGCTTCATGTTTAAAAAGTAAGCAAGTATTTCAATAGCTTTATCATTCCCTGTAGAAAGACTCATTTGAAATTGCTGGCATTTCCAGGAGAATGGGTATCTATTTCTCCTACAACTCTATGCAGGTCAACACTTTAAACTTGAATTTAGTAAAAAAAAAGCACCAAAAACTAAACAATCAAGAAATAGGGACCATCTGATTAGTTATCAAAGAAATTATTTTCAGCCTGAGCAGGACCATCACCTGAAGGGGTCCAGTGAGACTGTGGGATCTTCACCCGTCTGCACGCAAATGAACAAAGGCTGGGGCAATCACACAGCACAAGTAGTCAGACTGGGCGACCTCCAAAGTTCTTTTACAACTGAAATTATTCAGTGATTTCAAGAACCTAGCATTACAAGTGTCTGTGATACCCATCCTTCCTGAACACATACTCTTGCCAAGAAGTACAAAGGGAAAAATGCATCTCTAATGTTAAGAGGTCATGCAGCAGTCAGCCAGCCAAAACCCAAGCTTAAATGGATGCAAGCTTCAGGCCTTAGTCTGCCAGACAGTGGAATACTGACGGAGAGCATTCTCCCCATTTTGGAGTTGAGCTAAAAAGCTTGGTTTTGAGGAGGAGTTGTCTATATATTTGCCATAGCTTAAAAATAAAATGAAAGTAGGTTGTATACGTGGATAAGGAAGATCCGTTCAGGGCTCTCTCTAAATACAGTAACAAGAAAGCCTGTATACCCTGCAGCCACAAAAGACATTTGTCAGATTTCTGCTTCTTGAGTCTGACCTCCCTCAAAGTAGGCAGCAGACAAAAAAAAATATAGCGCAAGGAAAACCACAATGCAGCCACAGGGAAGCAGAGGGAGGGAGGTGCCTCTGGAGCAACTGCAGAAGGTTAAAAGAAATCACACAGGAAATTCCTGTTGGTACAAAGAAAACGGTGGAGGAGGAGCCAGGGGTCACATCCTGTCAGCTGGCACAGAGGTGTTGCAGTTAAGAGTTTGCTGGAAACCGGGAAACTGCAGCACACTTAAAAACAAGGCAGTGCTGACTGCCAGAAAACCGGAACCGCCACTGCTCGCTCGGCTTCAAACCACACCCCCATTTTAGTTGGTTTCTCTGAGGAAACAAAGAAGCTGCACTGTTTGCCTGCTTTCCCAACAACTTTTTAGAAATCTGCTGGTCAAATTTGACAGTGTAGAGAGCTCAAAGATAATTAAGACAATGACCTTCTGCAAACAGTATAGTTGAGACTCCCAAATTAATGCTACTACAGAGAGATGCAAGTACAATTCAGCCCTAATGCAGAACTCCACTGGTTTATCAGATCATTAAAGTAAACTGCAGAAGGAAGGAAAAAAGCTCATTTAACTTTCTTAGACAGGAACCACGGTAAAGTACAAGTGTACACCTCTCACCTGCATTTTTGGATCTTGCATGGAGCTCTTTAGACCCTGACTCCAGTGTCCTAAATGTTCCTAAAGCACAGAATAAAAAAAAAAAATACAAGATAATTAAGAATCCAATTCTACATTTTAAAGCTGTTGTGGTTTAACCTGGCGGGTAGCTAAAACAACTGCACAGCCGTTTGCTGATCCCCCACCCCACCAGCCAGGGATGGGGAAGACAATCAGAAAAAAGGTAGAACTGGCTTGAGATAAAGGCAGTTTAATAGGACAAGGTAAAAAAGATAATAATAATGATAAAATAATATATAAAAC